ACGCCCTCGCGGGCTCCGGCTTCTTGGACCAAACCGCGGGCGATGCTCGCTACCTGGTGCGCCCACCCGGCCCCGCCAGCGGCGAAATCCATCAGATCGTCCAAAACCAGTTTTTTCCGCCGATTATCAAAAATCTACTGCTCCGGACGCCGCTGGCCGGGGCCAGCATACTGGGCAATGGATCGACTCTGGAGATTATCTGCGACTGCTATTCCAAGAGCGAGAGCGACTCCCGGTACCTGAGCCCCACCGACCTGGGCTCTCTGGACGCCCGCTACTTCCCAAACAATGGGGGGCCCGAAGTTAACGGCATCTTGAACATCATCCAGACTCAGTTTACACCAAAAATCATCCGGAATCTGCTGTGCCGGGCTCCCCTCTCGGCCCAAGCGATCCTTGGCAATGGNNTGCGACTGCTGGAGCAAGGGGCAGAGCGACGGGCGGTACCCTTTGATCGCCAACTTCAACAGTTTGGGATCCACGGTCAACTCCCTGTCCACCCGCGTCACGGACCTTGAGAACAACGGCGGCCTCGCCCCCACCACTGATCTGACCGTGAACAGCGTCACGGCCGCCAGCTTCCTGGACGCCCCCGAGCTGCGGAGCTCCGCGGGAGATTTGCAGATCCAGAACGCCCTGGTGACAATTCGCAAAGAGGATGGTGCCCTGCTCGCCTCCTTCGCAGACGGCGGCATTAGCTTTGACCGGGATGTCACAGTGGCGGCTGCCAGCACCCTGAACGCTACATCAGCGGACTTCGCCCAGTTCTTTGTAGGCAGCACGGCGGCCACCGGCACTTTCAACTCCAACAGCAGCGTCACCGCCAATCTGGAGGTCGTGAGCAATCTCCGGCTCGAGGCCCCGCTGCTGCGCTGCGACCCGACGGCACCGCAGCTCACGATCGAAGGCGGCACCAGCGGAGTGCTCGTGGACTCCACCTTGGTCGTCAACGGGCTCATCGCCCCCGACGCCTCGCTGCCGTTCCTCAGCCTGTCGGGCGGCAGCGGCGGCGTACAGGTGCTCAGCCCGCTGCTGGAGCAGATCGCGGTGGGGCCTCCCGCCGGCTCCGTCGGCATGGTCATCCGCAATGCAGCGCCCACGGGCGATGCCCAGCT